CTCCCTGTTGGGAGAGCGGGAGCGTCGCCATCTGCTACGCTGATGGCCCGTCTGGCCCCTCCTGGGGGCAGGCCCATGCTAGAGCTGGTGGCGGGCGCCTTCTCCGTCCTCACCTGAGGACGCGGCCGCCTCGGTCGCCCCCGCCAGCTGTTCGTTTCGACGGACGGCTGCGCCAGGCCTCGTCCCCCGTTCCTCGTCCTCCTCCTCTTCCTCCTCCCCCCATCCCTCTCCTCGTCGTCGTCCTCCTCCTCCTCCTCCTCCTCCTCCTCCTCCTCGGCCTGTAGGGCCTCGGACGGGTGGACCAGCCACCACCAGAATGTCCTGAGGGGTCTCCTGGCCAATCGATATCGGTGCCAAGCCAGATTTTACGAGAAGTGCGAAGATGTCCGGCCCGATTGCCTCCATCGCGGGAAGCGCGGCGCCTTCTTCCACCGGCGAGTTTCCGGTCCCAGCTCGGCGGCATGGCGGCACGAAGAGGTAACGCCGGAGATCCTCGCTGCCTCTGGGTTCGCGTCTCGCTTCCCAGGCAGGGCCCAGGAACTCTTTGCGCGGGTGATTTTCCCTGACCCATCCTCCTGATTCCCCCGCAGGGCCCCTGACCCCTCCTCCTGCTACCCCTATCGCTTGCATTGGCCCCAAGACGGGTTGTTGTTGGGCGAGGGCTGGCACGTCTTTCCAGATGGGTCGGCCTACGAGAACCACAACCCGCGTCTTGGAGTGGCGGGATGCGCGGTGGTGGTGACGGACGAGGACGGGGTGGTGAAGCACGCTCTCTGGGGGGGGGGTCCACTGGCCTCCAGGCAGCCAGTGATGGAGAGGACTATGCGACCCTCCAGCTTGTGCTCGATGCTGTGCTGAGCCTGGGCGTCCAGCTACATGTTGCTTTTGCTGGCACGGCTGACTGCGCCGAGGAGCCTCGGACGGCGGCGGGGCCCCAGAGCCCTGGGGTCCCATTGGTGGCCAGGGTCCACGATAAGCTGGACGACACGGCTGTCCAGAAGGCTCCGTCTTACTGCTCCGAAAAAGGATGTCATCGAGAGCCTCCTCACTCGCTGCCATTGGCTCGGCAACCAGGCGGCCGACCGTTACGCTAGTGAGGGGGCACAGTTGTTGTGCAGCGTAGAAGAAGACCGCCTCGTCATCCGAGGTTGCCATGGAAATGCTCGCCAGGTCTCAAAGTTCTCGGCCAGGCAAGAGGTGCATATAGCCGCCGCCGCCTCGTTCGACAACGTCCCTCTGGATTGGCTCTGGTCCATCACTCTAGAGTGCCCGCCCCTCAAAGGGATGATGATGATGATGATGATGATGATGATGATGATGATGATGCTGATGATGATGATGATGATGATGATGATGATGATGATGATGATGGTGATGGTGATGATGATGATGATGGTGATGATGATGGTGATGATGATGAAGGTGCGGTTGGGGCGGTTGAGTGGGCGGGAGTGTCGTCCATCGTCGGGGAAGAGTGCACGGTCTCGGCCAGCAGACCTTCACCAGAGCCGAGCGAGGAGGTTTGGGCTTGCCCCAGGCCCTGGCGAGCCCGAGGCCACGTGTGCCTTGAAGCCCCAGTTTCGTCCTGCACGGGAGCCCCTCTGGGAACTTTCTTTTGTTGTACGACCTGTGGGTCGGTTGGCCACCCTGAGAGTTCCCGGGGTCGCAGTGCTCTCGCGTCGGATTGCCTGGGCCGTCGGTCTGCCGGCCGACACGGGCAGTCAGAGTGGATTCTGCGTGGGCCGTCAAGACGGGCGGGTAGGGTCGGCCACCGCCCTGTCGGAAGCTTCTAAGAATTTCATGGCCTCCAAGCTTGGCCTTGATGAGGTTCCCCCTCTGGAACCTGCCCCGTGTTCAGTGTCAGGAGTCGACCTCGTCCGCGGGCTCGCGCTGATTGGATTATCCTCCCGCCCCTCGGCTGAAGAGCTGCGGATGCGAGTCCTTGATCGGAGAACACGCGTGCCCGAAGAATTCGAGGACGAATTCTAACATGTTCAGTTTTGCTTGTACATGCGAAGTGGGTGGCCCCCGTCCCGTTGCGCTGGTGCTGCACGCCTCCTCCTCCTCTTCCTCCTCCTCCTCCTCCTCCTCCTCCTCCTCCTCCTCCTCCTCTTTCTCCTTTCGTTTGCAGGTTTCTTTTTTCCGCGGACCTGCACCTGACAGTCTGTCTAAAGCTCTACCTTGTTCGCTTGATGTCGAACTTCATGTGCAGCTCCAAGGACGGAGGGCGGGTCGGTGCTCTCAGCGCGGAGCTGTCGCCCGAATGGCTGGCGTATTGGGGGGGCGCTCGTCTTTCGATGGGGGGGGGGCGGCGCCTTGCGCGCAGTAAAAAACCCAAATTGCGGGTTTGGGTGGGGGGGGGTCCGGGTTCCACATGTGTTGTTCCCAACCATCCTGTGTTGAGTTGGATCCTCGTGGCATGATTCGCATGCCGCCTCCCTTCCACCTTGGCACACACACACACACACAGACAGACACACCTCACACGCTGCCTGGCCCCATAGGGAACTTCACCGATTGCCCCAATGGCATGATTCGCATGCATAGGGAGCCCCACCGAATGCCCCAGTGGCATGACTCGCATGACGCTCCCCCCTCGACTTTGGCACACCCCTGACACGCTTCGTGGCCCCATAGGGAGCTCCACCGAAGGCCCACGTGGCACGACTCGCATGCCGCCACCCCTCGACTTTGGCACACCCCTCACACGCTTCGTCGCCCCGCAGCGCTTCGTGGCCTCGAAAGAAGCTCCACCGAAGGCCCCAGCGGCGGTGTTCGCATGCGCTCCCCCCAACCGGTACAGCGTTCCGTGGCCCCATAGGGAGCTCCACCGAAGGCCCCAGCGGCGGTGTTCGCATGCGCTCCCCCCAACCCAGCAGAGCACTCCGTGGCCCCATAGGGAGCTCCACCGAAGGCCCCAGTGGCGGTGTTCGCATGCGCTCCCCCCAACCCAGCAGATCACTTCGTGGCCCCATAGGGAGCTCCACCGAAGGCCTCACTGGTGCTGTTAGCATGCGCCCCCCCGCTCAGTAGAACGCTTCGTGGCCGCATAAGGAGCTGCACCGAAGGCCCCATCTGCGGTGTCCGCATGCGTTTCCCCCACCCAGTGCAATGGTTCGTGGGCCCATGGGGAGCTCCGCCGAAGGCCCCGGCGGCGGTGCCCGCCCGCGTTGCCCCCATCCAGCACAGCGCTTCGTGGCCCAATGGGGGGTCCACAGACGACCCCAATGGCGGTGTTCGCATGCGTTCCCCCACACACTACAGCGCTTCGTGGCCCCAGTAGCGTTGTCCGCATGCGTTTCCCCAACCCAGCACAACATTTTGTGGTCCCCATATGGAGCTCCAGCGAAGGCACCAATGGCGGTGTCCGCATGCGTTTCCCCCGCCCAGTACAACGTTGCGTGGCCCCATAGGGACCTCCACCGAAGGCCCCAGTGGCGTTGTCCGCATGCGCTCCCCCCACGGAGCTCCACCAAAGGTCCCAGTGGCGGTGTTCGCATGCGTCTCGTCCACCCAGTACAGCGTGTCGTGGCCCCATAGGGGCTCCGCCGAAGGCACCAATGGCGGTGTCCGCATGCGTTTCCCCCACCCAGTACAACGTTGCGTGGCCTCATAGGGAGCTCCACCGAAGGCCCCAGCGGCGGTGTCCGCATGCGTTTCCCAAGCGCTTCGTGGCCCCATAGGGAGCTCCGCCGAAGGCCCCAGTGGCGGTGTTCGCATGCGCTTCTCCCACGGGAGCTCCACCGAAGGTCACAGTTACGGTGTTCGCATGCGTTTCCCCAGCTCTTCGTGGCCCCATAGTGAGCTCTACCGAAGGTCCCAGTGGCGGTGTTCGCATGCGCTTCCCCCACAGCTCCACCGAAGGCCCCAGTGGCGGTGTTCGCATGCGTTCCCCCTACCCAGCACAGCGCTTCGTGGCCCCATAGGGAGCTCCACCGAAGGCCCCAGTGGCATGACTCGCATGCCGCCACCACTCGACTTTGGCACACCCCTCACACGCTTCGTCGCCCCATAGGGAGCTCCACCGAAGGCCCCAGTGGCGGTGCCAGCATGCGTTTCCTCCGCCCATTACAACGTTTCGTGGCCCCATGGGGACCTCCACCGAAGGCCCCAGCTGCGGTGCCCGCACGCGTTCCCCCACCCAGTACAATACAGCGTGTCGTTGTCCCATGGGAAGCTCCAGCGAAGGCCCCAGTGGCGGTGTTCGCATGCGCTTCCCCCCCCACCCCCGGTGCAGCTCTCCGTGGCCTCAAAAAAAGCTCCACCGAAGGCCCCAGTGGCGGTGTTCGCATGGCGTTTCCCCCACCCAGTGCAGCTCTTCGTGGCCCCATAGGGAGCTCCACCGAAGGCCCCAGTGGCGGTCTTCGCATGCGCTCCCCCCACTCGGCACAGCGCTTCGTGGTCACATGGGGAGCTCCACCGAAGTCCCCAGTGGCGGTAGTCGCATGCGTCTCCCCCGCCTAGTACAGCGCTTCGTGCCCCGATAGGGGAGCTCCAACGAAGGCCCCAGTGGCGGTGTTCGCATGCGTCTCGTCTACCCAGTACAATGCTTCGGGGCCCCATAGGGAGCTCCACCGAAAGCCGTAGTGGCGACGTTCGCATGGCGGCCCCGCCCCATGTCGGCACACATCCCTCACACGTTTCGTGGCAATGGAGCGCGACCGAAGGCCAATGACTGCGCCCGCATGCGACCCCGCCCAATATCGGCACACCTCTTACACGCTTCGTGGCCCCATACAGAAATCCAACGAGGCCGATATCCACAACCGCGATACTCTCAACCGCATATGGTTGGGCCCTTCGCCAGGATCATTCTCAATGTTCCCTTACGCCCCCCCTAACCCACACTGGAAATGCAGGGCATATTGGGGCCTTCGTGTTGGGTTGGGGTGGTTTGATGGGCTGTGAAGTCTGGTCTTTCTCTTTCCCCTCTTCTCATAAGAGAACCGTGGAAGGCGGGTAGTGGTGGCGGGCGGCAAGCTGAAAAGATGCCCTGGCTCCTGAAACATCTCTGCCGAGATGAACTCGGGCGTCCTGGCAACCGAGCCCAGCCTCTCAGTCTTGTGTTTCTTCACCGAGCTCTCCATCTCGGCCTGTCAGGCGCGAGAAACGGCCTTCCACCCGTGCCCTTCTCCAGGGTGAAATCACTATACATAATGTTGTTTGCGACTCTTTCCCACTGAGCATCCTACACCAAGCGTGGATCCGTCCCCATCCCCTCCCATCACTCGACCCAGCGCTGGGGTGTCTACCCATCCCTGCACGAGTTGCGCATCACCTCGCTTCGCCCGCCCTTCAAGAAAAACGTCGAAAGCATCACCACCTCATCCTGCTGCCCAACGGCTGCACATCGACGCCCCAAGCGTTCCCCTGATAGAAAGAACCCGAAATAGTCAAAGCCTGCCGTATAAGGCTAAAACTGAAAGCTTGAACCAAATAAACTGAAGGAAGATAACTGAAACGAGGGAGCTCAGCCAGCGTGGGAAGCAAAACGTCACTCCTCCGTATCCATGCTGCTGTCAGTTCTCGATCCGTGCGCAGGGGTGTGTGGCTGTTTCTGGCTCCTGGCCTTGAGAGAAGACAGGTAGCCTGCCTTCTCGAGCTTCCTGGCGTTCTTGGAGATCACCCCCAAGGAGTGCTGGACGCACTGCGCCAACTTGCTGCAGTGGTAGATGGCCCAGATCTTGTACTGGGGAGCGACATCCCGGTAGCCGATGATCCGGTAAGACTCGCGAAGAAAAGGCAGGTAGAGCTGGAGCGACATCCTGAAGGGCAACGATCGGGAGGGGCACTGACACATAGGGGAGAAACATCGACCTGGAGTCGGCGATACGTCGCCAATGGATCGGCGATAGGCCCCTGATAGCGAATACGCAAGCTCCTGGGCGGGGTGGGCTATCGGTCCCACATCGGCGCTGAATGGGCGAGTAGGGGTCGATGCATCCTCCCCTGAGCCTTCGGTGGCAACTCATGGAAGCCTCCCATACCATCTTGTCGCCTCTTGCGACTCAACGCCAATCAAAGCTAGTCGACGCTGATCGACGCTACATCGACGCTAAATCGACTCTAGCCAACGCTAAATCGGAGCTATCTAATCGACTCCTAGACGCTCATCGACGCTGAGGACGGAATTAAGAGGGTACACCAGGCTCCCCTGTTTTGCTACCGAGTGAGCCCATCTCGCTCTGGCGTTGCCCATGGCTCGGGCCCGGCGAAAGGGGGGGATAGCAAAGGGGGGGTTGAGAATCACCAGCTCACGTAGCTGATTTTCCCGGCCCCCCGGTGAGGCCGACACCAGCTGCATGCAGCAAATTTCGTACCCCCCCCTTTCCCAATCCCCCCCTTTCGTGCGGCCCGACTGGCATCCAGTCGCACGGCTGCAGATCCGCCTGGGCGCCGGCGCGGGCCCGCAGGCAGCCGACGACGTCCTGGCGCATGAAGCGCCGGACGGCGACGCAGTGGTCCACGAGCAGCTTGAGCGACAGCGCGCCCCGCCCACCTCCGGCGCGCCTCCCAAAGTGAGCAAGGGCGCTCCACGACTCGCAAAGCAACTACTCGCCCATGGCCTGGATCCGCCACGGGAAAATTATGATGCATTCTGGGACGCACAGGGACATACTAATACTACTATGTCCTCCTTGGAGGCGCGCGTCCGACCCGAACATATAGTATATCTGTTTTGTAGTATATCGTTTCCCGAGCGGTGTGGCCAGGAAGCGCCCGCCACGACGCATATACTACAAAAGTTCTCGATGCGCGCGTCGCCCCTGAGGGGGGGCGACGCACATATAGTATAAGTATGCTGGGGTGGCGCCGACATTACCTTGATGCAGACACGTGTCTTTCGGACGTTTGCGAGTAGGCACTTTGCGAGTAGTGGAACGCGCCCGGTGATAAAGGAACGCCTGAGAAAGAGACTTCTCAGACTACGGGGTTACACTTGGAACTTTGCTCGGCGGCAAGCCTGGGGCGGGAAGTGAGAAGGGGCGGGCCTTCTCGCGAGACTCGGAAGTTCCGCGGCCTTCTAAGAAGTGTTATTAGTCTTCCCCGAAGGCACAGAAGACTTCTCAGAGGGCGTGAGGGCTTCTGAGAGGTCCCGCCGCCGTCTGAGAAGGCCTTGTCCTTCTCACTCCCCCCAGTCGCTCGCCGCCGATGTGAAGCGCGAGTGACAGCGTCATGCGACGACCTTTCGCGCGAAGCCGAGCAGACTTGAGGAATCGGCATCGCCCGTCTCAAAAGTCCCTGCCCCTGGGGCCCCATTTGGAACAACACGAACCTCGACCTTCCGGAATGGGTACAGAAGAGACGTTCAGGGTCTCGCCAAGCGTGTCTCCACGCAACAGCGCGTTGGACACGCTGGAGCAGTAGCTGAAGGCGGCGGCCACCATGGCCTCGTCTGCCACCAGCCGGGACTTCAACGAGCGCTCCATCTTGCGCTGCTTGTCTGGGCTCTTGCCAGTCCTCTTCACCACTTCGTCTATGAGCTGCTCCAGGTCCACCTGGCTGAGGACAGAGAGGCGCTCGGGGGGCAGCGCTACAAACTTCTGCAGCAGCTTCACCACCACAGCCTGATCGGTGCGGAGCCAGTCTCCAACATTCATGCTCTGCCAGAGGCTCTCCTGGGTGCCGGCGAACTCCACTAGCATCTTTGGCGTGATAGGTATCGTGGCGTACTCGAAGAGGCAAGCCATCTCGAACTTGCACATGTCGGTGAAGAGTGGCAAGTCCACCGAGGTGGCGAAATCGATCATCCAAAGAGCGTCCGAGGCGTCAATCATGATGTTCGCGGCATTGAGGTCTCCATGAGCTAATCCGACAAGCGGAGCCAACTCCTTTCCTCCTTGGCCTGCCAAACTAATCAACTTATCCTTGATGGCGTCGACTCCCAAATCCTTCATCGATGGCAGTTCCGCGCGAAAGTACTCTTTGTACAACCTCCGCATGGCCCCCTCCGCGGGATATTCTCCTCGGGGCGGCAAGGACGGACAAAGAGACAATCGCAGCTTGCGCGGTGCGTGATGAATTTCTAGACCAGACACCGCTGGCATTGCGACCAGTAGGCCATGTTCCTTCTCCTCCTCGTCTTCCTGCTCCTCCTCTTGCGGGCTGCTTGGGAGGGCTTGATTCCCTCACAGGACTGACGCGCGCCATCAAACCTCGGCGAAGCCCTTGAGGCCCTCGACGCCCAGGAGACCCTGCGACATCCGAGTGATTCCGAGATGCTCCAGGGCGATTCTCCTGGTGCCTGCCCTAGCCTCAAGGCCTCTTCGCCACCAACGGTTCCACCCAGCCCGTTGAGAATAAGCGGCCGGGAAGGCGCGAAGAAAGCATGTGACCCGAGAGGCGGCTCGCTTCCCGAGAGATCCGCGCGACGCGCCCTCGAACAGCATTGAGGTCCCCGATGAGCAGGGTCGGACGAAAGGGGCGGGTAGTATCGGTGGCGACGGTGGGGGGCGCATAGCCCAGGGGCGAGAATTACACGCATTCGCCAAGGAGCCTCGCCGAAGGCATGGACTATCGGCGCCCCTGGATGCATGTACGGTCGGACCTAGGACAGAAGAACATCCTTCAAGAATATGGGACCCCCCGCCAGCCCAAACTTGAGAGCATTCGAAGGTGCCCTCGCCCAGGATGCACAAGAGAACCGAACAAACACGAAGAGCATCAGGGCACCCTCCCCGAACAGACATCGATCTTGTACCTCGGGCCGACCGTATTGCTCTCCCCTGGGCTATTCGCTCTGATCGTCGCCTCCGATAATACAGAGGGTGGGGGTTGAAAACCCGCTCACGAAGCTGACTTGTCTGGCGCATCCCAGGCGCGGGGAGGCGACAAGTATTGGAGGAAGGAGCCTGGCGACGGGGCCGAACACCGCTGCCTACAACAGTTGTCTCTTCTGCGCACTTTCGGGAAAAGGGGGGGAGGAACGCAGAGAAGAATGCTACGCAACGAATATCTCTGCAGTGGCGGGGGCACAAGCCTGCACCTCCTTTGCCAGTCCCCCCGTCGGTAGCAACTCGTGGGAGCCTCCCATACCTTGTTGGCGGCTCTTGCGAATCGACGTTCATTAACGCTACGCAGCGCTAAGTGATGCTAAGTCGACGCTGATCGGCGCTAAATCGATGCGAATCGACGCTAAATATGTTCTGTCTCATCGACTGCCAGAGGCTAGCGCACGCCGATACACGCTAAAGACGAAATTGCGAAGGCACGTAAGGCTTCCATGGTTTGCTACCGAACTTTCCCCAATCCCCCCCTGCGTCCGACCCGAACGGGGCGCCCTTGGAGCGCTCGCGGAGCGCCCTCGAGGCCTGGCGAGGTACCCCGCAGTCCAGCGCCCCCCCCCCCAGCCCACCCGCCCGCCCGCCCCCCCCCCCCCTTACCCTCTCCCCCCCCCCACCAACCTTTGGAGTCCCGAAACGGTGCGGTGACCTCGAAATCTCCAAAGACCTCACCGCACGGTCCGTCAACGGACGGTTTTGGGACCTCAGATGCCCCAAACGCCCGAGACGTCCTCGGAGAACGACCCGAGTCCCAAAACCGTGCGGTGACCCCGAATCCCCACCGACTCACCACACGGTGTGGTCACCGCCCCGTTTGGGGGCTCCCGACAACCCCTTGCAGCCCCCGCCGATCCCCAGCCGCGCTCCCCCGCACGCACCCCCCCCAGCCCCCACGCCCGCCTGCCTGCGACCCCCTCGGCGAACAGCCAAGGAGAAGGAGGAGGCGGAGGAGGAGGAGAAGGGCGAGGAGGAGGGCGAGGAGGAGGTGGAGAAGGGGAGGGCGGAGGAAGAGGGTGTGGATGACGGGGGAAGGTGGAGCGTGAGGTCGGAGGAGAACAAGATCAAGTCCGAGGTAACCTCGACCCCTCCCTCGCCACTGTGCCAAGCAGCGCGTCCCGGCATTCTCGCGCACTCACGGGAAGAGGAAAGGGCTGCATTGGAGCCCCCTCAGGGGCCAGGAGGAAGAGGAGGGAGAGGATAGAGACGAGAGGGAGACGAGGGAGAGGAGGGAGAGGAGGAGGAGGGCCAGGAGGGCCAGGAGGAGGGCCAGGAGGAGGGCCAGGAGGAGAGAGAGCAGGGAGGACGAGGGAGACGAGGAGGCCAGGAGGAAGAGGAGGGAGAGGAGGGAGGGGAGACGAGCGAAGGAACAGCGGGAGGACGAGTACTGGGAGACTGGGATGGGGTGAGGAGGAGGTCGGCGAGAGGGAGCAGAGGGAGTGGAGAGAGAGATGGGGAGGGGAGTGGGTTGAGGGAGTAAGGGCCAGGTGGAGGGGGGCGAGGGGGGAGGAGGAGGAGGGAGGAGGAGGAGGAGGAGGAGGAGGAGGAGAGGAGGAGGAGGAGGAGGCGAGGAATGGAATGGAATGGAATGGACTGGAATGGAATGGAATGGACCCCTTCGTGATGCGAATTGGGTGATGGAGGAGCAGGAGGAGGAGGAGGAGGAGGAGGAGGAGGAGGAGGAGAAGGAGAGGCGAGGCATGGAATGGAATGGAATGGAATGGAATGGAATGGACTGGACTGGACTGGAATGGACTGGACTGGACTGGAATGGAATGGACCCCTTCGTGATGCGAATTGGGTGACGGAGGAGCAGGAGGAGGAGAAGGAGGAGGAGGAGGAGGAGGAAGAGGAGGAGGAGGAGGAGGAGGAGGAGGAGGAGGGAGGCGACTCTTGGCGATCGCCGGCGATGCACGGCACGGTGCATCTGCCGAGCGCCCGCGCCCTCACTTGCCCGGGCCGAAGACGGGCATGAGGGTGTAGGTCTGGCACTCGATCTGCGACACGCCCTCGATCGCCATCAGGCCCTCGACCACGGCCGCCTCCGGGTAGAACTCGACGGCCGCCCAGTCGTCAAAGCCGTCCAGCCCGAGCTTGCAGACTACCTTGAAGTCTTTGCGGTCTCCGCACACTATCCGCTGGACGCTCAGCAGGCCGTGCACCTGCCTCAGGGCGGGGACGACCACCTCGTCGAGCACCCTCTGGCACTCCTGCAGGGACTTCTTGCCGTCCTGGTCGCTCCACTTGCACCGCCACTCGCGCGCGACCTGGTTGTAGGTGACGTTGTCCGTGATGCACTCTGAGTTGTGAGCTGTGCTCTTCCACTCCGCCTCCTGCATGGCTCTGGCCACCAGCACGCCAGACCACGGACGGCTGCCCCGCTTGCCTGATGTGCTGAGTGGCACGGCCACCGCCGGCGCGGGGACGCCAGGCAGACTTGAGCCAACAGGATGCGGAGAAGGAGACGGAGGAGGAGGAGGAGGAGCAGGAGCAGGAGGAGGAGGAACAAGAGGTGGTGACCTCCCAATAGGGAGCCCCCCTTTAGCATTGCTGGGGGAACGGCGGAAGCGGCAATAGCACGGGCCTTGACGGCGGGAGCTGTACGGACACAGCGCGCGTTGAGGATGCATGGATCTCTGCAGGGGGCAAGGAGGAGCTGGAGTGGCAGCAGAAGCTGGAGGAGAATGAGGAGTACCAGGAGGACCAGCAGAGGACCCCTGGCCCTCCCGGGCAAGGAGGTGGCTAGACAAGGCACCCTGAGCTCCAGGAGGGACATTCCGAGCTGCCTCCTGACACAACCTGCCGTGTTCCGCACGTCGCGATCGTCGAACCGCTGGGAACCGTAGGGGTACGACCAGCCGAGCCTCACCACCCAGACACTTTCCCCATCCTCCTTCCCCACGCGGTCCCTGGAGTGTTCCCCCCACCTTCTCCTGCTGCTTCTCTCTCTGCCCATACTTCACCTTTTGCTGCTGCTGCTGCTGCTGCTGCTGCTGCTGTTGCTCCGCACCCTCCTCTTCCTCTACTGGCCCGCCAGATAAAGGGCATGAGTACGAAACTGAAGCGTACAAGGAGGGAATGCAACATAAGCCGCTCGCATATACATATATATATATATATACACACAATGATACGCAACATAATTAATACCAATGAAAACAAGCAAATGGAGAGGGCACTGAAAGCGTGATCCACCACTCTCAGTAGAACCACCCGTACCGATCAGAAGGGGGGCCTTCTGCAAGAAGCCCCTCCTCAGAAGGGACCCGGGCCTCTTAGGAGGAAGACGCTACGTGAAACGATGCGAGCTGCCGTGCACAGAGCGAGGAGGTAAGCAGGGGAAGCTGCATCACCGACCTCGGCAAGGCCTGGACTGCACCTCCCAACGCCACCGCACGTAACACAGTGGAGGGGGTTGGGGGGGGTCGTCGTCGGGTGCACCCGCCCTCCGGAAAGCGGCACGGCCCGCCGCGATTCGCGGAACTGGAGGGGAAGAAAACGGCGACCATGACCAAGACTGAACGCGGAAACGTCGTGCCAATCTTGGTCACAGTCGATCCTGGTCAGCGTCGACTCGTGGATCATCCTTGCGAGTGGGAGACGGCCGACATGGACCATGACCAAGATCGGCACCGACATGATCCCGCGACATCTTGGTCATGGTCTCCGAGTTTATCTCCTCGACTAAAGTCGTGCAGATTCTGCCAGAAGCCAGCGGACACTTCGTTGTCTGAGCGCCAGCGCGAGCAGCGGGGCAGGAAGGCCCCGGGCCTTCCCCAGGGAGCGCTGCGTTGATGAGCCGAAGGGTCCGCCTGGTCGAGGTTCATAAAACAATGCCCGTGGCACGTGGAGCAATGCCAGATCAACACGCAGCTCAATGGGTGCCTCCCCCAAACGTGTCAATCGAGCACGCAGGTAAGAAAACGAGCAACTCCGAACTGCCCAGGGGCCAACCAAACGAGCGCACATTTGCGGGATGCACACAGCCCCGTGTGGAAACTGTATGTGGAATGTAAACGTTGCACGTCCGATAGGGCGTGCACGAGGCGATACCAAAGAAAAGAAGATGGATGGGGAGGGGCTGGAGGAAAACGACGACGAAGAGGAAGGATGCTCAGAGAGGAGGGGAAAGATAATGTGTGTGAGGACGAGGGCGAGGACACAAAGATGGCGGATCATCATCATCATCATCATCATCATCATCATCATCATCATCATCATCATCATCATCATCATCATCATCATCATCATCATCATCATCATCATCATCATCAGCAGCAGCAACATCATCAGCATCACCGCTATCCTCATCATCATCCTCATCAGCATCATCAGCATCAGCATCATTAGCATCATAAACATCAACATCAGCATCAGCATCAGCATCAGCATCAGCATCAGCATCATCATCATCATCATCATCATCATCATCATCATCATCATCATCATCATCATCATCATCATCATCCGCATCATCATCATCAGCAGCATCATCATCAGCATCATCAACATCATCAGCATCATCATCATCAGCATCATCATCATCCACAGCATCATCATCATCACCATCATCAACATAATCATCATTATCATCATCATCCTGCGCCTCCTCTTCCTCCTTGTCGTGTTGCTCCCAGCTCCCCATCCTCCCTCCTCTTTCTTCCCTCCTCCCCATGCTCTTCCTTCTCCGCCTCCTTCTACTAGAACTACTCGCCCCCTTCTTTCCAATCTTCGCACCCAGGCTGCAAATTCTACTGCTTTCCTAACGGCGGGGGGCTAAAGACTGGGCCCTGGTCGCTGTCGACTGGGCTGTGGCTACCGCCCTGGCTGGCTGTGACCTAGCCCTACCTGACGACACAGGTTTGCGACGATTCTGCTCAAACGGACTAACTTCGGTAAGAGCTGCGACTGCCCTGCCTGCCGCTGGAGACCAGGCTCTGGCTGCTGGCGGAGGCGGAGCTGGGCTGCTGCTGTCGCGGCGCAGGCGTTGCTGCTGTGCTGCCAGCGCTGGAGACTGGGCCCCGTCTGCCGCTGGCGGCGAAGCCAGGCTGTCGCCGTCGCGGAGCGGCAGCTGCTGGTCCTGCTGCGCGCCCGCCACGCTGGGCTGTGCCCAGCCGGCTGCTGTTGGCGGCTGGCGCGCCTCTTCTTCTTCCTCCTCCTCCTCCCCGTCCGCTTTCTCTTCCCCGGGTGACTGGCCTTTCTGTTGATCTGGGTTCGGGGGAGGAGCTGAGAGGGCTGCTGGAGGCCAGCGCGCCTCCTCCTCCTCCTCCCCCTCCCCGTCCTCGTTGTGCGCCCGCGGCCGCTGCTCCGTGTCCTCGTGCAGCAGCCCCTGGGGGCATCGAGGCTCCTGCGGACCCGGATCTGCCGGGAGGGCCGCGGGCACTTCTGCAGCTGGGGCCACGCCGTCGTCGATGTCGCGCTGCGGTGCCTCCTGCTTCGGCGGCCCCTGGGGGGCCTGCGGCACCGACGGTGCGTGGGGGCCTGCCGGAGCTGCATCCGCAGAGCTGCCGCCCTCGCCGAGCTGCCCTTCCTGCCGCTGCCCCCGTGGAGGCTGCTGCTCTGGCGCCTCTGCAGCCGAGGCCTCGGGGGGGCCTGCAGAGGGCGGCGCCGCAGCATCGCTGCCGCACGGCTGCCCCTCGTCCTGCTCCGCCAACGTCGCCTGTGTCGGGCCCAGGCCATCTCCGCCGTCGGGCCGCGGCTCCTCCTGGCGCGGCACGTGCAGCGCCGCAGCGGCAGGGACCTCGGGAGCCGAGGCTGCGCCGCCCGTGCCGTTGCCCTGCTGCCCCTCGGGGCCCTCCAGCTGTGGCTTCCGCGGCGACGACTGCCGCGGTTCCGCCGCCGCGGGCACCGCCTGGGGGGTACCCGCGCCGTCGCCGCCGTCTGGCCGCCGCTCCTCCAGCCGCTGCGCTGGCTGGCTGCTGCGGCTGCTGCTGCTGCTGCCGCTGCTGCTGCCACGGCTGCGGCTGCTGCTGCGGGCGGGCGGGCGCTGCTGCTGCGCCCGCGGCGCTGCTGCCGAGGGAGCGGGGCCGTCGCCGCTGCCCTGACACGGCCCCTGCAGCTGCGCAGGCCCCGGCTGCGCAGGAGGCTGCTGCAGCGCTGGCGGCGACCCCGCTGCTTGCTCAGGGGAGCTGTCGGGCAGCCACCTCAGCCAGCAGCCTTCTCGGAACTGGCAGCGCCGCGGCCTTCTCGCCTTCGGGTCGACGTACACGCCCACGCCGTGCTGCTTGCCACCCAGCCACTGGCCTGTGTACGACCTGCCGTCGGGCCACGTAAACTTGCCGTCGCCAGCCTTGCGGTCCTCCGCGAAAGAGCCCTCGTAGGTGCGCCCGTCGGGCCAGCGCATGCTCCCCGCGCCGCTCATCTGGTTGCCCCGCCATTCGCCCTCGTAGACGCGGCCGTCCGCGAACGAGTAGGCGCCACTGCCCTCGAAACGATCGTCGACGAACTGGCCAGTGAACGTGGACCCGTCGTAGCAGGCGAATCGCCCCTGGCCTGACTTCTTCCCCTCAGAGTAGGCGCCCCTGAAGAAGGACCCGTCCGCCCAGGTCTCCTGCCCGAGGCCGGCCTTCGCGTCCTGGCTCCACTCCCCGTCGTACGAGGAGCCGTCCGCGTGCTCGTACTTCCCCTTCCCGTCGGCCTTGTCTTCGCGCCACTGCCCCTCGTAGCGGTCCCCGTTGCTCTGCACGCACCTGCCGGCGCCGTGCGCCAAGCCGTCCCGCAGCTGCCCCTCGTAGGTGCTCCCGTCCAGCCTCACCACGGACCCATGGCCGTGCCAGACGCTGCCCAGCCACTGCCCCGAATAGACCACGCCGTCCTCCAGCGTCACCGCGGCACGCTCCTCGCAGCCGGGCGGGTCCATGGGCAGCGCCCCCTCCAGGCTGAGGGGGGGCACGGCGACCGCATACCTCTCCTCGCTGATGAGGAGCAACGAGAGGGGGGGACTGGCATAATTAGGGGGAGACGCATCGGCCTGGAATCGGCGACGCATCGCCGATAGATCGGCGATAGGCCCCTGGTAGTGAATCCGAACGTTCCTGGGCAGGTTGGGGCTGTCGAGCACCTATCGGCGATCCATGGGCGATTGGGGGTCGATGCACCGCCCCCCATGCCCATCCCCCCCTATCATTGCCCCTGCGCTGAGGGGTGGCCGCAGCTCGTCCTGCGCCGCATCGCCGACGCAGGGGGCGCACCTGAAGTTGGCGGCGAGCGATGGGGGGAAGTGAGAAGGGGCGGGCCTTCTCAGAAAGCTCGGAAGTCCCCGGCCTCCTGAGAAGTTGTCGAAGCCTTACCCGACGACGCAGAACACTTCTCAGAAGGCGCGAGGGCTTCTGAGAAGTCTCGCCGCCTTCTGAGAAGGCCTTCTCCTTCTCATTTCCAGTAGAGCCCTGAATCGAATCGACAAGTCGGATGGGCGATCGACATGAACTGGATCGACGGATATCGACCGGCAGCCGAGTCGGGAAAAATCGAATCGGCAGACATCGGCAGGCTTGAAGGCCTCCAGTGAGAAACCAGATTCCAGATCGGAATCCGCAATCGAATCGAATTGGAATCGGAATCCATCGAAATCGAATCGAATCGAACCGGCGGTATCGGAATGAGCCTTGCCTGATGGGCCCATTTCCCACCACCACTACCATAGGTAGGAGAGGGAGGAGGAGGAGGAGGAGGAGGAGGAGGAGGAGGAGGAGGAGGAGGAGAAGGAGGAGGAGGAGGAGGAGGAGGAGGAGGAGGAGGAGCTCCTCATCCCCCTCCCTCCCCCGTCCTACCTCTGGTAGCGGTGGTGGGTGGAACGTCTGCCCACCACTGCACTTCCCCCCATTCGCCCGCCGCTGCTGAAGGCATCCAGCAGCATGCGGCGCCCTTCCCGCGGGCGAGGCGCCTGGCCCCGCCGGCGCACGGGCGCCGGGCGCGAGGGCGCGGTGCCACGGCTGCGGGCGCCATCGCCCGAGCAGAGGGCCGTGCTCGGGCCGGCACGAGCGGCGATGGGAGTACGGTGGGGGGATTTGAGGGGCGAATGCTCCACCACCACCAACACCACCAGATGCAGGCCGGGGGAGAAGGGAGGATGAGGAGGTCCTCCTCCTCCTCCTCCTCCTCCTCCTCCTCCTCCTCCTCCGCCTCCTCCTCCTCCTCCTCCTCCTCCTCCTCCTCCTCCTCTTCCTCCTCCTCCCCCTGTCCTCGTCCTCCTCCTGCTCCTCCTCTTCCTCCTCCTCCTCCTCCTCCTGCTCCTCCTACTCCTACTCCCTCTCCTACATATGGTAGTGGTGGTGGGAAATGGGCCCATCAGAATTGGATCAGGAACCCTTAGATAAGGAATCCAGGGTCTTGAGGCCGCTGGAACTCCAATCGAGGCGTGGCCATAGATGTCACCGCCGCCCTCATCAGATGAGGAATCCTCCATGGTCTGCAGCATCCTGGGCGCATTCCTGAACCAACGCCCCGACCCAGGGAAGCCCAGCGGGAGCCGAAGGGAAGCTTCGACGGGCCTCTCCAGGAGGCTCCGGACAGCTCGAAAGCCCCGAAAAGCACACATGGCCCGTTCAGGAAACCCTGAATTGGCGGCGCGCACAGTGGGGTGGAGGGAGGGGGGTGCGCCGGCCTTACATCTATAGATTCGGCCCGCGCCTTCTAAGAAACAGGGGTGCTTCTAAGAAGCCCTCCCCCCATCCCCCCTCTGCGCGTGGCTGACTGAACACGAACATGTTGCCATCTCTAGG